CAGATACCACAGACTACGACGTCGCGGCTTCTATGTTCACTATTGTGGTTCAGTTGTTTGACTTGGTCAAACCCGCAGACTGTGACATACCCTCATGGCGTGCTGTCGCAAAGGGCCGCGTGACTGTGTGTTCTGCTCATCTGAAGTGCAATGAACCTCTTTGGAAACAAATTCTTCTGGAGGTGGCCAACGGAGCATCGCATGATAAGTTCGAAGAGTTGAACAAGCAGGGCGTAACTTTCTTGAAAGCTCTGTCGAATGAAAGCCGACTCTTGCGTTGGTTGGCATGTTCGCAGATGCAAGCGGAATACGGTCAACTACGACGTCATTCCAAGAACAACTGGCCGGAAGCCAGCATTTTTGCGGCTTGGTGGAATCCGGCAGAGGATCATATTCTACAGGTCATGCTCGAAGAGGTCCAGCAACATGGCTTCGATGGTCATATCTCCTGTCATTTTGATGGTCTTCTGCTGAGCACTTCCATGGTGAAGTCAATCGAGACGGCAACAGGAAAGAACATGATCTTGGTCTTGCAAGAAGCAGTACAGCGAAACACGCATTTCGAGGTGGCGATTAAAAATAAGAGATTGCCTTCCTTTGACGTGTGGCTGTCCAACAAGCTTCGAGAGAGCGACGTTGATGCAGATTTGGGAACCTACTGCGAACTTTTGACTGCCACGCCGAACTCGATTCCAGCTGCGATAACTTTTGTCGGCGCAGACTTAAAGCAGGTTGTCTCTCGTCTGCGAAAGGAGTCGCCGTCGAATGCAAAGGCCGACACACATCGTGTCCGACAGTATTCGGACTGGCATGGCTGTGGGGATTGGGGATCTGTATCTGGTCCCACGGCATGCGTGCGTGCTAAACATCACCAAGGATTTCCTTTTACATCTCGAACTGCCAGAGTCGTCCCTTTGTCTGGGGGTCAGGGTTGTCACGGACGACAACATTCTCGTTATGCGTGCAGGCAAGGTCTATGAGGGCACTATGGCACAGCTGATGCATCTACTCGAATCATACCACGGCACGAAACAAACGTTCTGTTTTGACATTGCTTCCGAAGATCCAGACCTCGACGATGTGGAGATCGGGTTTCTTGATCTTCTGGCCGGGTCCTCTTCTGCATCTTCAATCAAAAAACGACCTGCCTCTATCCGACAGCACCAAGACCCACAGAATGACGACGAGGTTGACATCGGGGCAGAGCTACGCAGGCTGCTCTGTGATGAAGTGACGGCGGCAGTCCGCGCAACACAGGCGCAAGCTGGAAATTTGTTTCCACCAACGGTCTGTCCGTGCTGCCCTTGGAGACAGTTCGAGCGGCGTCGATGCTTGGTGGAACATCTGCAACACCAACATACGGAAGCGAAGCGCTTCTGTCCGGCTGGGGCCAAGCAGTTGCGGGTCGTGGTGGCGCTATATGATCATGACCGCCTTCATGATCGGACACCGCAACCGACTTTTCTGGCTAGGGCCAGCGAGCTTCTGCGGAAGACTGTCAAGGGCAACATGCCGCGTAATCGCAGCTTTATCGATAAATCCCTTCGCTGTGTCTTTCATTCAGACGGGCCTGAGTTTGTCAATATTCGATCTATCACAGAGGCTACGGGTTTACGCAGAGTGGGTAGTCTGTTCTACGATCGTGGCTTTGCTGATGCGTTCCTCAATGCAGCGGCCGCTCACCATGCCTCGCTGCACAAGATACAGGCATATTTCTTGGAGAAGTGCAGAAGGGACGATGGAAAGCTGGCGTCGGTTATTCCGCGTGGCAACAATGGCTTCTGGATGAACGTCCTTGAAGACCTCATGATGTCACCTCTCCTTGAAGCATATACGCAAGGCTCATGGACCGATGCGCAGAAGCTGAAGAATTTAGGTACATCAGCCTGGATGCGACGTTCAAGATCAATTTAAAGATCATAGGCCAGGCAAACTTCCACTCTTCTGCATCGACTCGGTCTCAGGCCATTATCCCAGAAGATGAAGCCGCGTATAGAACCATGACATGCCGCGGCCGCATGGCGCTGTGCGGAATCAGATCTGAGAAATCGCGCATTCTGGCAGATGAATTGCAAAAAAAGTTTATAGATGCACAGCGTGGGCAGGTCTTGCATGTGGCATCCGATGCTCCCTCTGCGGAGCTGTTCCAGACCTTGAAAGAAGTTCTGCCAAATCTGCAGAGTTTATCGCTGGATGCCATGCATATGTTATGGTCTACGACCAAAACATGAACAACCGCCGGACCGCGGGAAGCAAATGGCTTGCTGTTATCATGAACAAATTTCGCAAGCGGCACTCTTCTCGCACACAGGCATCCTTTGGTGAGTTCTACAATGGAGGCACTCTAGGATCAGCGCCGCAGGATGTCAGATCCATGAGAGATTGTCTCTTAGAGCCGGATATGTCCGAAAACGCAGCGAGAACACTGCTAGAGACATTGGATCCTGACACTCCGTGGCTGACGGAAGTTGACTTCCTCCAAGCCTTGGTGGCGCACTTTTCAGTCTTTCGAGAAGAACTTCGTAAAGTCACATTTACAGGAGTTCGCTGCATCGGCTTATCGTGAACGTCGCCAGCCCTGCCAAATTCCAATGGCTTCTCAATGACACGAGATACCGCCATTCCGTTCATCGGCAAGAGCTAGTGCTCCTGCCGAGCGGTACAACTTCCAATGAAAGCCTCCACCA